AACAGGCCTGTCTATAATCACAATCTCATGATTCCCATCATTAGAAAACAGAATAAAATGTTTGCTTTGGTTTTGTTTTGCATTTTTCTCCACTGGTTTTAAAGACCCCTGGTCAAATGTCAAATGACCCTAACAATTTCGTCAGAGTAAACAAACTCATGCTTTTCTTTATTGATTAAAGATATATTTAATCATACAATGAATGTAATAGACACTATTATGATGTTTTCACTATAAAATAATAATACATGACAAAAATTAGCAATAATTAAACATTTTATTGAATATAATCCTCAACAGTAATGCCATATAGAACAATACATGAAGGTTTTTGAAAAAACAAACAAACAGCCAGTGCGACACTGAGATGTAAGTTAATCTAAAAAAAAAAACCTTTGCAAATAAGGCTGCATTGTCCATATGGTCTGTTAGATTTTAAAGAAATAAATACATACACACCATACCAACATTTCCACAGTATCTGTGGCTCCAGTCCTCCCATCAGCTATCATCAGCATCGCTAACTTCACTGTAAACCACACAAAAGGCACATTTGTGAGTTACGTTGTGCTTTCTATATGATATTTTACTTCAGATGTCCATTATATTTTGATCTTATGATCAGTGACACATAAGTGACTCTTAACACACTCTGAAATATCACATAATGTTAGTGAAAGAAAGACAGAAAAAGGGAACTATGGGTCCTGAGGGGGGGTTTATGGGACATGTGTTCAAAGTGCTGTTGTTGCCCTGACATCTTCAGCCATCACCTCGCAGATCAGTCACTCACTGCAGATCATAAGCATTTCAGCCTCTTTAATGTATGCATCTCATGCACATGTAGTGTAAAAACATATATACAAACTGAAATGCATAAATTGTGGCTTTCATAAAGTACCTATGATCAAAAGTGATCAGATCTTTTTCAAAAATAAAACATTATTTCATAGAAAAATGTAAAAGGCCATTTGTGGATCATTATGAAGGAAAAATGTGGTCAATTACAGCGCAATTATTACAGTGAAAACTGGGGCTATAATGGTTTACACTGAAATCCCTTGTGAAGTTTAGTTGAATGACTAGGGTTGTTTGGGTGTTCCTGGGCAAGACAGACAAACTGACATCATTATATCGTCTGTGCAGGCCAGGCTGGCTTCAGTCCTCCTCAAAAACGTCCAGTTGGCATAAACAGTGTATATAAAAAATCATATACTAATATGCTGTATAATGAAATGCCCCTGGTTTAGATTGTGGAGAAACAGTCAGGGTTGAAAGAAACTTTATCACATGTGTACATGCGTAACATAAAATATCTGTTTAAATTAAAATACAATGTCAAAGAAGAGGGATGCCACATTTCCCATGTTGCTTCCTGTCTCTCTCATTCCTCTTTTCGTCCACTGAGTTACTCAATAAACCTCTAAGAAAGAGGCACAACAGTGTTCAATCGTCTCTGCGTTTGTGTTTTTGTCTAGCTGTGATGATATTCTCATGCCTCTGTTTTTCCCTATATCTGCTTTCTTTATACAAATGCCTCTGGTACGTCAGTGCCATTGATTTTGAGATAGATTTTAGCATTATTTTCCTTCTCCTTCCTCTTTTTGTGCAGGGTTTTCCTGAAGTACAGTAGATAGAGTGGTAACAGGAATCCCATCATGCTGAGAGCCAGCAGACCAACATTCACCTACACCAGCAAACAAAAACATACAGAGCAGGTCAAAACATGCCTGACGGGCATTTAATCCATTTAGCATTACTAAAGCTCTCTGCTGTGTGTCATACCCAGAGTGGGTCTCCCTTCAGTGGTCCCATCATGGCCATGAACAAAGGTTGCTGCAGCAGAGCGAACAGAGCGCTAACCAATGACTGCATTCCTGTCAGACTGCCGAACTGAGATGATGGGTACCTGCAGACACACAAACAGATTATTTGTTGTCATATTATATGATTTAAATGCAGCTATTACAGACGAAAGTGATGATCACAAGCAGAATTTAATCATGTTTTACAGATAATATCGATAAACTCACACAGCAGCATAAAGTCCACCGATGGCGGAGTGGATGAAGCCTCTGACGATGGTGTGAAGGACAAACGAGAGCATCTGGAGGGAGATGACATAAGGTGACAAAATCAAACATTATAAACTTGTTTATTCTGCTGTTTCTTATGGTAAAATTAGCAGGCGACATGCTAGTTTCATAATTAGGCCACTAGGGGGAGATGCTGTACAGCTATGCAGACACTTCAGGTACCAATAGCAAGAAATAAGCGTGTTGCTTTTTTTTTCTGTGTACATACTATTTCTGCTATATGGTATACTTGCATACTACTCCATATGAAAGAAATAATAAGAGTAGTATGCTATTCCAAATTTAGCAATAGCCTTCCTCTGCACAATAAATACAATAGCATACTAACATACTACTTTTAATATTGCTGCAATATGTACTATGTTTACTGTGCACTATACTATACAAATACATGCACAGAATATCCATGAATATTACATTAGCAACAAAAAAAAGTAGTATATAGTAGTATACAACTATGTTATTATTCATGTATTATATTATGTATTAATGTTTTAAATTAACTTTTATTTTCTGCATTTTTTTATTATTTTAGTTTTAGTAATATTCTTTCCTCATTTTTATGTTTTGGTTTTTTATTGTTTATATATATTTTTAATTTGAGTAATTTTAGTACTTTAACTTAAACTTATTTCAATTAGTTGCCAGGCAACCTTTCTAATTTTCGTTTACATTTTTTTTTTCTTCCAAAATTTATGTTTTACTTGATTTCAATGACTGAAAACTAATTTTAATAGCTTTAGTTTTTTAGTCATATTTAACAATAACAACACTGGTAAACAACAGAGCATACAGAAACATTGATTTAAAAAAAACTTATACACTGCATACTGCATACTATTTAAAAAAAAAAAAAACACTGCATTGTGCAACATTAAAGGCAGAGTAAGTGATTTCTGGTAGCCAATGTTGATATTTGAAATCACCAAAACAAACACGCCCCTACCCCAAAAGGGTCTTGCCCCTATTTGGATAGCTCCGCCCGCCCTATACGTACGCAACCCAGGAGTGTTTTTGAAAAATCACTTACTCTGCCTTTAAATGTGTCAACCAGTAATATTCAGTAATATTGTCAAATGTTCAGTAATATTGTCAAATGCTCGTCATATTGCGAGATTAATTCTGTACGCAACACACACCTGAAGAGGGAGGTTGGGAATTAGGCAGGTGATGCCAAAGCCGACAAGGAGGATGTTGGTGAAGATGAAGGCCCGTGTGGCGTTGGTGACTTTCTGAATCTGTCTGTCTCTGTGTTTGGGCTGGGGCTCGTCCCTGGTTCAAACATGATTTATTTTAAGTCACGTCTACATCCATAGATCACTCAAAAGTGTTTCATAACTTACTTTTTGGGCTCTTTTTCATTGATTTCTCCATCATCGCATTCTTTCAGCTTCCAGTCCATGATCTGACCGATGACCGGCGTCGTCATCAAGCACAAGAGTTGCATCATGCCAAAAATGGAGGTGTAGAGGCTCACTGAGAGAGCAAGAGAGAGACAGATTATAACACTGTGTAATAGATGACGTCTGAGGTTAGTTAATAACTACTCTGGTTAATGGCTGAGTTTATGGCGCTCTGCAGGCTTGTGTATGCATTAATGCCCAGAGCACAGGTGGGCAGGGAGTGGGTTACGCTTGACCTGAGTACAGGAGAAGGTTAAATGTTAGAATAACAAGCTTTAGGGAAGACACGCTCTACTGGTTTCTACTGTGCTACTGAGATTCTTACCCAATTCCATTCTCTCAACTGCAGAAATAGTTTTAAAAAATTAATTTAGAAGGCAGTTATGATGTCAATAGTGCCATCTTTTTTTCTGCATTTACATATCTGAATTATCATAATTATAATTATCATAATTATTAT